GCTACCACCTAGTGGTATGCTTGAGAAAAATAAGGCCAGAAATTTGCTGCAAGAAATCTAGACGTGCAGTAGCAGGAAGGGAGAATCTTCTCCGCATTTAAATTTCGTGCATAATTTAAGGGTTTGTTTGTTTAGTTGCAAAGTCGTGCCCAATCCATCACAACTCCATGGACAACATTCCTCCAGGCCTTCCTGTCTTCCACCATCCCCTGGAATCCACTTAAGCCCACACCAACTGCTTCCGTGACTCCATCCAGCCACCTCATCCTCTGCTGTCCCCTTCTCCTTTTGCCATCTATTGTTCCCAGCATCAGGCTCTTCTCCAGGGAGTCCTTCCTTCTTATTAGGTGGCCAAAGTATTTGAGTTTCATCTTCAGCATCTGGCCTTCTAAAGAGCAGTCAGGGCTGATCTCCTCTAGGACTGACCGGTTTGATCACCTTGCGGTCCAAGGGACTCGCAGGCGTCTTCTCCAGCACCACAATGCAAAGGCCTCAGTTCTTTGGCACTCAGCCTTCCTTATGGTCCAGCTTCCACAGCCATACATTGCAACTGGGAAAACCATAGTCTTGCGTATGCACACTTTTGTTGGCAGGGTGATGTCTCTGCTTTTTAGTACGCTGTCTAGATTTGCCATAGCTTTCCTCCCCAGGAGCAAGCGTCTTTTAATTTCTTGGCTGCAGTCCCCGTCTGCAGTGATCTTGGAGCCCAGGAAAATAAAATCTGTCACTACCTCCATTTCTTCCCCATCTATTTGCTGGGAAGTGAGAGGACCAGATATCTCCTAATCTGAATATTTCAATTATTATTATGATTACTATTATTATTGGTATTACTACTAATACTAATTACTACTATTATTGGCTCCTGAGCAGGATAAAATACACTGGACACCCCATGGCAGTTCTGTTCTGTGCTTGGGTAGCTTTTCTGCATGACACTTCACTTCCCTAGCATTTGTTATTACAAATCCATACTAAGGTCCATCTTTTGCCCCCGCAGTCCTCTTTAGCAAGACTGTACTCTGAGCCTCCTTCTCTCTCATCTGACCAATGAGGCTTGTTTTGTTTAATGAACAAGGATTCAGCGATTGTGCTTATCTGCCGGTTGCGAAAAGATCGCTGCCTTATGAGTTGTGTCGAACAAACATCCCTTCACATATCGGCTCCATCAGTTCCTCCTTATCCCTCCAGCTAGTTGCCAAGTTTAAGGCTTTTTTAACCTTGTTTTGGAACAGAGAATTTCTTTGCTTTCTGGATGCTTATCACAGATTCCTCAATGCAGCAAAGACTTGCTGGATTCCTCACTGTACCACCAGCTTCCCCTGGGTGGAATAAATTTTCTGGTTTGCCCAGGGGTCCTGGGTGTTCTTTCAATAAAACCGCCGAGGTTCAAGGTGAAAGCGGTCTTTCCTGACTGAGCCTGGTTATCCTTGCTGCGGCTGCCATCGAGGCTTCCCAACAGCACCTGTGGATTGGAGATAAATTGTGTGTGTATATATACATAATTGTATATATACATTATATATACATAAATTGTGTGTGTGTAAATATATACATATATATGTATATATATTTTAAATTATTATTCTAATGTGCATATTTTAATTTATGTGGTTTTAATTTATTGTTGTAAGCCGCCCCGAGGCTTCGGCGAATGGGACGGCATAAAAATGTTTTAATAAATAAATAAATAATAAAATAAATCCAATGCAAAATAGGAATGAAATAATGCAGAGCACAGTGGCCTTAGCATCAGCGACGGCAGAAAAATAGCACCTTCAGAACACAATCATGGTGCGTAAAATTATTAATGTGTGGCAGGGGACGGATAGGCCCATGACACATTTCTCTGCATTTTTGGAAGAAGTGAGCAAACAAGATGTGATGTACTGGAGAAAGAGCAACACTTTCCCCCCCGTGGGTCTTGTCAACAGCGTCTTCAAAGCAACTCGCTCCTTTTTCATTTTAATTCATAGGGTGGATGAACTTGTTTTTACAGATCATTAATTCTGTTTTGTGGTTTGGGAAACATGTTTGTGCTTTTGTAATTTTCTTTTAAACTTTAAGGGCAAGTATAGTTCAAAGGGGAAGGAAGGGAGGCTGATAAACTGGCCCGAATGTTTCTGGATAACCTTCAGGCTTATGGGAACAGCCTTACCTGCGTGACCGTCAGATGCTCCCTCCATTTGGAGAAGAGTCTTGCTCCCAGATCGGCTGAACTGTTTTCCTTCCCTCCCTCCCATCTTTCTCTCTCTTTCTCTCTCTCTCTCATTCTGTGGCAATGTTCCCCCAGACTCATCTCTATATGCCTACCTTGGCCGTCACCAGAAAGTTAAGGCACATGTGTTCTTTGGAAAATACTCAGCCCGGTGGATTCCATGTGATTTCACACAGCTTCTGGAAAGGTGAACCTTCCCTTCTTGTAGGGAAAGAGGTCCGACCTTTAGTGAATTACCAGGCAACTGGAGAAGCCGCTGGCCCAACCTGTATTTTTTCTGCAGGGAAGGTGGGTGCTCATGGCTGCAGAGGACTGATATCCTGACCTTGTTCTCCTGCAAGCGACCCAAGGCAGCTTACGCAGCTCAGTGGCATTGGGTTTTTATCTGCACAACATTTCTCAGTCATGACTGCATGCTTGGAGCGGGGCGAGGTCTGAATGGCAGTTCCACAAATTAAAATGCACTCCTTGGTTATTTCCCCTGAATGTTCTTTAGAAGGACAGACAGTGAAGCCGCATAATGAGAGGGAAGGACTCACTGGAGAAGATCCTGATGCTGGGAACGATGGAAGGCAAAGGGAGAAGGGGGCAGCAGAGGATGAGGGGGCTGGATATTGTTACTCATGCAGGGAACTGGGAAGGGTTCAGGGAACAGCTGAAAGTAGCTTTGTTATGAGGTGGCAATTTGAACCCGGGTCTCCAACTCCCATCCTCTATCTGCAGAATGTACACCACAATGATCAATCCAAAGAGAATCCATGTTTTTCAAGGGAATCCTTGATTTGCCATGGTGGAGGGTGTTTATTCCTATTCCTATTCTGCATTATTTAGAGGTCAGCCTCCACATTTGTGTGTAGTACTTAAATCTCCAGGTGAGAACCTTGATGCCTCCTGAATCTAGTACAAGACTAAAGACCCTCGAGGCCAACACTTTAACCACTCCTCTTCTTGGCTTCTTGCAATTCTGTGTGCTCCCTAAGGGCCTGGAATGTTCAGCCTGCACCTTCGACCCCTTTTGTGCAGCAATCCGTCCTGCTTCCTCGATTTATAGACTTCCAAGTTCATTTGCAGGATCAACAGCAGGACCCTCCCTTGCTCCAGAAAGGGCACTTTCCCCCGTGCCCTCACTGCCAGATTTGGAGGCGCAGCAGCAAAAAGCAGCGATCCGGGAGCTTGATTGGGCTCCAGAACAAGATGCAGACTCCCTGTGAGTTTGCCAGCTGCAGGCAGGCAGGTTCCTATGTCGGCAGGGAGCAGAAAGGATGCGGGCTTAGAAGCATCAGCAGCCGACCTGGATTTGGCGGCGGGATGCATGCCAGCTTGGGGAAGGATGGTAGTTTAATAGATATACCTGCGGCCGGGAGCCCTGTGGTGCGTCTCTCTGATGAAATCTTCTTCATAAGCCCCAGTCCTCTGCGAAGCTGCTGGAAGGGAGACCTGGGTCGCTGCGGTCGCCTCTCTTTGCGGGGTGGGCGCTGGTGTGGGATGCAGAGGTCGTGTCTCTGTTAGCGTGTGGACTGCTGTGCTTTCTGTGGGACCAGGTTTCCCAGCAGGGAATGTGGTGCTGACCCCAAGGGGTGGGGGGAGATGTAAGTGCGGGGGGGGGGACGGCTTGCCATGGAGAAAGAGCACGGGGGAAAGGGGCTCCCCGTGGGCAGATTCGTTCCCTAGAAGGCTGCTCTGGCTGAAGAGCGAGGCAGAGAACCAGACGGGGAGGCAGGGGACAGGTCCAGGAACGGTGCCGCCCGATCAGGAAGAGGCAGGTGCCGGTGGGCGGAGAGAAATGCACCTTGCGACTGAAGCGCAGGTGTGGCAGCCAATGGGAGGCGTGCAGCCAGCCACGGGGCTGAGGGGGCAGGATGGAGGCCACCGTGGCAGCGAAGCCACCTGCCTGCCGGTGGGGTGCCTCGTGGTGCAGAGGCCCAGGCTCTGGCATCACACGGGACGGCTTCTCCCGGCGGCCAAACCCCCTCGGCACCACCGCCACCACCACCGCCGCCACGGCTGCGCTCGCATTGCATGCTCATCCCAGCTTCTTCCTCTTGTGAGAAACCCAGGCTGGCTTTCACAGTCTGCTCTTTTCTCAGAACAACAACCCTGCAAGGTGGGTCCGGTGACGATGCCTGGCCCAGTGTCACCCAGTGAGTGGGGACTCAAACCCATGTCGGCCAGATCCCCCATCCAACACTGTCACCCTCACACCACACAATCGCACAAAAAACAGGCTATGCCAAGAAACCTATGATATATCAGTCTGAATGAAAATGCATTTCTCCCTCTCCCTCCCTCCCTTTCTCTCTCCTGTTTATATCAGAGTATAACCCCAACGAAATGCAAAATTGCAAATACTTCGGTGTTATGGTACTGATGGCTGATATGCAGATTTTAAAAAGCAGCTGAGTTTTAGTTTCACAGTTCCCTTTTGGGAGGTGCTGGTGGAACAAGGATATTTGTAATCACATACCCATCGGATCTCTGTGCGATCCTACATTCGCTTGCAGAGAAGCATATGCCATTTAGGTCAGGGAGATTTACTCTCAGGGAAGCACTTGCAGGAGTCCAGCCTCAATCCTTGCTACATTATTTTATTGCTGCTCGTTATTCTGATTGCTGGTGACCCCACAAGCAGAGCCCCCTGGAATCCTCTCTGGGGCAGCCCTGCTCGCCTCTTGCAAATGCAGTGCTGCGGCTTCCTTTGCAGAGTTCAGCGTTTCCTTGCATTCCTGGGTGCCCCTGTATCCTTGAGGAGGCAGCCTCGCAGTTATAAAAGCCCGAACTTGGATGCCTTGCGTCACTCTGAAGGTCTCCTGCCCACGAGTCTGGCAGTGGCTTGGTTCTCCCTGGCTTTCTCCCTCTTGCTCTGGCTGCCGCTCTCCCACGGCCCGCTGTGATGCTCCCCAGGCATCGGCCCCCTGTGCCTGCTTTGGGCATCCCTGCAAGGGTAAGCCAGTTCTTCTGCCCTGAGGATACTCGGCCCCTGGCCCGCTGCAGGGCACATACCTCTCCCATGGAGCTGCCCCCCACCTCTCTCAAGGGGAAGATGCCCAGGCCGTACAGCGAGATCCCGGGCAACTGGAAAACCAGCTGGTTCAATCTGTATTTCTTCTGGAAGGACGGCGGCTTCCATAACGTCCACAGCATGATGGTGCGCAATTTCCAGCAGTTCGGACCCATATACAGGTAGGGATTCCCTCTTGGTTCTTGTTGCTGCCCTCCCCAACTTCCTGCAAGTGTTTGTCCCCCCAGGCTCAAAGCTTGAGGCAGGCAGCTGTTTTCAGGCTCGCTGGCTTCATAGGTGTGCAGGGTGGAAGACTCGCCAGACCGGCCTTGGGGGCCGCGGCCAGCGCACCGTGAACGACGCCGTGTTCCTTGCTTTGGGACTGCCTGCAAGCCCTTCTGAGGAGCATCTGCCGGGCTTGGCGAGCTGCACCAGATTGAATCTGAACTTCCCTCCCAAGGGCAGTGTGAGGCACAGGAAAGCGCAATGAGAGCCAGAAACGAGCCCAAAGTTTTCCTTTTAACTTGAGGAGGAGGGGAGAAGCCCAGTCGATTCGCCCACTGCTCATCTGCTTCCTTTTCTGCCTCAGATGTTCAATGCTATGTATACATTCTGGACAGGCGCAGGCATTCCTGCCTGCTGAACATCTCCAGTGTAGTTTGAAGCAATCTGTTTGGCCGTGAGGCAGGAGCCAGTCCTTCTGCGTGTGTTTGACAGATTATTATTATTGCATTGCATAATTGCTGTGGTTGTTGTTAATCGCAAAGTTGTGTCTGGCCCATCGCGACCCCATGGACCACCCTCCTCCAGGCCTTCCTCTCCTCCACCATCTCCCAGAGTCTACTTAAGCTCACACCAACTGCTTCAGTGACTCCATCCAGCCCCCTCATCCTCTGCCATCCCCTTCTGCTTTTGCCATCTATTGTTCCCAGCATCAGGCTCTTCTCCAGGGAGTCCTTCCTTCTCATTAGGTGGCCAAAGTATTTGAGCTTCAACTTCAGTATCTGGCCTTCTAAAGAGCAGTCAGTTACACAACTGAACATGAGCTCGTCTGGTTACTTGCAAGCCTGTTCAGTTTGCAGGCTCACATCTGGGGCTTTGAATGTTGCCCGCTAGCCTATTTTGGGGACAAAATCATTTCTCCCCAAACCCTAAAAATTGTCACTGCAATTTTGTTGATGGAAGAGGCAAAAGAGGGTTCTTAGGAATGCCCTTCCCACTGACTTAGTAGGATAACGTAATACCATGGAGCAAGGGGTCTCTTGAAGACCTTACCTACTGCAGTGAAATAATGTTAGGACAGAGGGTCTCTTGACGGTCTCCTGCCAAACATGAGCTCTTTCCAGTAAGTTGGCTTGTTCTTGTTACTGGGCAAAGACAGCTTTCTCTCCACTATCTGTCTTTCTAAAGAGCCATCAGGGTCGGGTCACATAATTACCTGCCCTTTTTCCTCTTGCAAGGCACCCAAGTTGGCTTGTGTACGTAACTCTGCTCCTCCCTGTTTCATCTGAAGAACAGCCCTGAGACGTTGGCTGGGCTGAGCGGGGCTTGAACCCGCATCTCCCAGGGCACCAGTCCAGTATTCTAACCACTGAGCCACACGGTTTCTCTGCTGGGAGAGGCGCCCTCACGAAGGGACGTCCCGTGGATTTTATCGCTGGGCAGGTTCACAAGCGACAGACTACTGCGAAGAGGCACAATAGCATCAGGCCAGGAAAGGTTCCAGGAGAGTCGCTTGCTCTTTTTAAAAACTCTTTTTAAAAACTGGCTCTTTTGAGAAGTGTTTAAAAACGCACCCGGGGAAGCACTGCAGAAAGTTGGAGAGTGGCTCACTCCGATCCTGCGAGCAGCCCCAGACATGGAAGGGACGGGACTGGCGGGTCCACAAGAGGTCACGGAAGGGGGCGGCTGGAAGTCCCAGCCTTTCTCTCCCACAAAATCGCGAAGAGAAGCAGCTGGAGGGCCAGGCTGGCGTCATGCCTGCTTCACGGGGAGGGGAGGGGAGGGGAGGGGAGGGGAGGAGGGGGCTGCACCAGCCCCCTTGGGTTGCTCGCGGGATAAGGGAGGGATTGTAGCTGTGCCGAGTAGAAAAGTAGAGCGTCTCTGCTCGAGACCTGCTCACCTGGCTTGCTGTCTCCCACCTGACACCCTCTGGATATGTCTGACTGCAACCTCCAGACCCACTCCCCATCAACCCCAGCCAGTGGGGGCGGTGCTGGTGGGAATGATGGGAACTGTAGTGCCGCCCATCTGGTGGGGGCAGTGGCCGGGAGGGGGAGGCTGGGCAAGGAGGAACAGTGGCACACCCGAGGCAACACGGAGGGCTTTGTACTGTGTGTCGGGCACAGCTGGGCCCATGCTGGGGTTCTGCACCTTCCTGGGGCCCCCGGGAAAGCTCCCCCCGCAGATGGGCTCCTCTGTCGGGGACCCCGGCAGATGGCTGCTGTCCACCAGGGTCACGTGCATGCAGAGCCGAGGCGAGGAAGAGGAAGAGTGAGAGCAGCCACGCTGGGCTGAGCGAGGAGAGGCGTGCAGAGCGAGTGCCCCTTGCCAAGGGCCCCCGAAACCCGGGACTGGCCCTGCTGGGATGAAGCCCTCCTCGGGGGGAGGCTGGCCAGCATCCGGTGTAATCCAACCCCCTCCCTCTGCAGGGAGAAACTGGGCATCTACGAGAGCATCAACATCATTGATCCGGAAGACGCCGCTGTCCTCTTCAAGCACGAGGGCATGTACCCCGAGAGGCTGACCGTGCCCCCGTGGGCGGCCTACCGGGACTTCCGGAACAAGCCCTACGGCGTGCTTCTCAAGTAAGGCCTGGCACGATGGGATGGGGGGTTGGGACGTGGCCCCGAGTCAGCGGCCGAGGAGGAAGGGCCAACAGCGACGGAGCGGTCCAGGTTGTTTTAAAATGTGAAGGGGACGTTCCAGTGCTTGTTTCGCGGTGGGTCGAGAGCAGCGGGGAGAGTGGCTATTAGCAGCTTGAGAATTGAACCAGCTGGTCCTGCATGTACACAGAAAAGTGGATGTGGATGATGGGCGGCTCAATGTCGCATGGTTTCACCCAGTGCTCAGGCCCCAGATAAATATGCACCGGGGTTGCAGGCTCAGTGATGCCTCTCCAAGCAAGTTAGCTCGGCAAAGAGCGAAGTCTTCACTGGGACCTGCTCCCAAGGGAATGTGCACGGTGCTGGACATTCTGAGTTGGGGGAAAAGAGGTTTCAGGACAAGACAGCGGGCTCCTTGGTGGTGGCACCCCATTTGTGTAAGAAACTCCCTGAAGAACCAGCCATTCTTTTCTCCCAGGCATTTAAGAGACCAGGTTCTAGGTCGTTATGGCAGTTTTATTGTTTTGCATTGTACTGTGCTATATGAAATACCTGAATCATAGTTCATATTTTTCAGAATTATATGGTGCTTTAGTGTTTTTAACTGCTTGCAAGCCATGTGGAGAACATCAGTTATCAGGCAGAAGGAAAATATAGCAAATAAATAAGATGCTTATGCAGGATGCAGGCTCTGGAGCCGACTGCCACTAACCTCCTTTCTTTGATCCGCTAGGAATGGGGAGGGCTGGCGCCAGGACCGCCTGGTGCTAAACAAGGAAGCCCTGTCCCTCCAGACCATCGATAATTTTGTGCCTCTTCTGAATGAGGTGGGGGAAGATTTTGTCAAGAGGGTCTACATTCAGATTCGAAGCAGCGCCCACGGGAGATGGACAGCAGATTTGACCAATGAGCTCTTCCGTTTCGCCCTGGAGTGTGAGTGGGGAAGGGAACTTTGAGACAGCGGGGGCGATACAGCTACACAACCTTAGAAATAATGCTTAGGCTGCAGTGAAAGGCAAAGCCAGCCATTTAATTTCTGGCCCGCTTCATCTCAGATAAGATACATGAAGCGCTTAGTGTCCACTCCACCCTAGAGTATTCCAGATCCATAGAAATCCGTTCTCTCCTCCAAGCTTAACTGCCCTGCAGTGGAGGATTCAGGAATGGGGAGCTGCTGGGTCCAGAATGGGTTTATGGGCGCACCCACCCATGGGAAACGAAGGCGATGTGCAGGCGGGCTGCTTAGATTTGGATCCCCCTGGTCTCCACCAAGCCATGGCAGAAAGAACACGGGGATCCCTTGGACCAGTCCTCACGTCTGTCCGTCCCCACAGCTGTGTGCAACGTCCTGTATGGCACCCGCCTGGGCCTCCTGCAGGACTTCATCGATCCCGAGAACCAGCAGTTCATAGACGCCATCACGCTGATGTTCCATTCCACCTCGCCGATGTTGTACATCCCGCCGGGGCTGCTGCGGAGGATCAACTCCAAGACCTGGCAGAACCACGTGAAGGCCTGGGATACCATCTTCCAGCATGGTGGGCGGCCTCCACGGGTTGGGGGCGCATCTCCAAGCCTTGCGACGGTGTGGGACTGGGTGGGGCGACATGCCACTGACGTGGCTTTTGAGCGGGGTTGAGGTGGCAGGGAAGGGTTAGGGGACAGAGGAGGCTCAGACCTCCAGCCTGTTGCCGTTGCCAGGGCAAAACTATGGGATGTGCAAAACACAAGACGCCTCTGCACACAGCCAGCCCATGAATCCACCTGGTCTTCATGCATCTAATCTCTAGGGCTGGGCTCTCTAAAGTCCATCTTCCCTGCCACACACTGAGCTCTCTCACTCCTGACCTTTATTTTATTTCTTAGTGCTTCTTTTTTCTGGGAGGCCAACTGAATGCAAAGGGAAGATTTTATGAAGCAGCAAGACCTGTCCCATGGCAGGCACTTTGGTAGAGTTCCCGTCACTCTCTCTCAGCATCCTAACGCAGCTCCCTGGCCTCGAAAGAGTGGGGAAGTGTGCTCGGAGATTTCATGGGCGGGTCGGAATTTGTTCCCCATGGGGGGAAGTGAAAGCCCAGGCACGGCTGAACGGGGGGTGGAAGCAGGGGTGGGTCCGTGGCGTCACTGGAGTGAGCCAACGCACCCTGCTCAGCCGTGGCATCAGCTGCAGATCGGCAGAGCTCATGCCACCGAGAGGGTTGCTGGGAGCACTTGCGGCTGCCTTGCCCACGCTCTGGACATTTCGAAACAGCTACATGCTTCCTCTTTGTCTCGCCAGCTGACAAGTGCATCCAGAACATGTACCGGGACCTCCGCTTGAACCGGAAAAGTGCCAAAGAATACATGGGCATCTTGTCCAGGCTCTTACTGCAAGACAAGCTACCGATTGAAAACATCAAAGCCAGCATCACGGAGATGATGGCAGGAGGGGTGGACACGGTAAGACTCAATCAATCAATCAGTCAATCAATCAATCAATCAATCAAATCTCCACGTACCTACCTAACAGCCCATCCATCCATCCAAAGCTTCTGTTACAATCTAAGAGTGACTCTGAAGCCGGATTCTGTTCTTTCCATGCGCTAACGGCCAAATGTCTCTCTCACCATTGATCGCTGCTGCTCTTGTGCCCCCAGACGTCCATCACCCTGCAGTGGGCCATGTACGAACTGGCCCGAGCCCCCGCCATGCAGGAGCAGCTGCGCTCGGAGGTCTTTGCAGCCAAGGCAGCCTCCCAGGGGGATGTCCTGAAGATGGTGAAGTCGGTCCCGCTGCTCAAAGCGGCCATCAAGGAAGTGCTAAGGTAGCGGGGGCTCCTCTCTAGGGTGCAGCCAGCGTCCTCGGGCGAGGGATCGGTTTTCTGAACGAACGAGATGCTTAGGAGGTGTCATCCCGTTACAGTCTAGTAAGACTAGCAATTAAATCCAAGATAAAGAAAAAAGCCTCCATGCACAACATCACCCGCAAGGACAACAAGATGGGTGCCAATACCCAGGCCACCGTGATAAAAATTCAGTGCAATGCCCATAAAATACAGCAAAGAATAATGAGCTAAAACCAGCCTATAAATAAAGCAGGCACTGAAACTGATAACATAAAAATAGAAGAAAATCATAATCGTTTTAATGATGGAGGGTCCAATGGGCTTGGACAAGCGTGGCCCCTGTAGTGTTGAAGTCAGCCAATCCTTGCCTCACATCCTGGAGTGGGTTTGTGTTGCGTGAACAAACGCCCCTCTCCTCTCTCCTCTCACTCACTCAAGGCTCCATCCAGTAGCGGTGACAATACAACGATACACAACCCAGGAGATCGTCCTCCAGAATTATCTGATTCCTGCCAAGGTGAGCAAGCCACGTGGAACCACGTATTTCTTCTCTCTCTCTCTCCCTCGAAGTTTTATTTTATTTTATATTGCCGTATTGTTAAACCGCCCCAAGACCACAGTAAGGGACAATCTAGAAAAGTTTTACATACATAAAAATAAAAGTATTCAGGCAGGCAAATGAGGCCTTCCTGACTTTGATCCTCGGGGCTGAAAGAAAGCAATTGGACCCAGGGACGGAGGAAGCACCAAACGGCCGCTATCGCATTCTGGATACTTTACATCAACCACCCGCAATCTGGTTCCCTCCAGATGTTTTGGACTGCAGCTCCCTTTGACGGTACTTGCTGGGGCTGATGGGACTGAAGTCCAAAGCAGCTTAGGGAAGGCCGCCTCCCATGGAGCACTATTTTCTCATGGTCCCTTCACAAAGCGCCCCTGGTAAATTGCCACCCCGACTTCGCCAGCTCTTCCCCTCCGTTGGTGGCGGCCGCGGCATCAGAGGTGGCTCGTGAAGTGGCGGGCCTTGGAGGCCAGGCCGCTCAGCGTTTGCCCGCAGCGCTCTGGCCGGCCGGCCCCTGGAATCAGAGCTTCACAGAGCTGGACGGGGCCTGGCCGGCCATCAGGCCCAACAGTGCAGGACCCAGGTCACCCATCCAGAGATCAGCCCGGCCTGACCCTGCTTAGCTTTCAAGATTAGGCAGGATGAGGCACGTCGAGCCGGCTGGAAGCACTCTGCTTGCAGCTGGGCAGTTGTCTCCTGGCTCTCCCCTTTTCCCGCAACACGAGGGTCTGGGCAGTGCCAGGGGTCACTCGAGAGAGACCAGCAGCGGAGAGTGGCCAGCTGGCCTTGGGTCCCCTCCTTTCTATTGGAGAGGCCAATTTCTGACCCCCCCCCCGCATCAAATCGCTGTGCCTCTGGGTTGCCCCCTGCAAATCAAATGATTTATTGATTTCAACAGGAAGCTGGAGCCGTGGTGGGTTTGCATGTGGAATGAAATCTCTGAGGGGCTGCAGGTTGGGGGAAGAAGAGGTGGAGAGCCAGTCCATCCCTTCCAGGAGGCCATCCTGGACTCCAGCCAGAAAGCTGATGGAGCGAACGGGTCTGCTTGGCTCTTGCTGCTCAAATCAGGGCCTTTTCTGTTTCGCTTGGCCTTGATGCTGAGCATCCAGCCACTGCTTTGAAAACACGTTCCTCTCTTGTCCTTCACCTCTTCCTCCCATCGCCGCCTTTCCCGTCTGCATTCACTCTGCTGCCATCAGCTCCCATTTGATTCTCCTTCCTTGAGAATCAAAGCCCACCTCACGCCCACCTCTGTGCTTCCTGCCATTTATGAGTGCCAGGGCACAACGTCACAGGTGTCCAAATTTCCATCACGGTCTCAAAATTAGCAAATGCACATTTTGCACAAAGCAGTGTCCATGCTGGTCCTCTTTCGGGGACGCTCTTCTCCTTTGGGAAATTCATACATGGCAGCTCCGCTCTGCCCACGCGATCATTGCCACAGGAAAGCCCAGGCAGGACTGGGGTCTTTTCTGGTTATGCAGATCCTTCAAAAACAGGCCTTGGATTGCTGTCCAAGCTCACATAAGATATTACTCCGAGGAGGCCGGGTTTTCCCCAGGAAGTGAAATAAGGTCGATTCTTTAATTTTGGGGGTTTATCAGTGAACGGGTGAGTGTGAAGGCCGAGACACAGGATGTGGAGAAACGTGTTCCTTGTGCTTTTAAAGCTGCCTGATTTGTGTTCCCCAGAGTGAAACTCATTGACTGCAGAGATCCTTACACTTCTCTGAAATGTGCTGCTTCCTAATCAAGGTGATGCAGACAAAGGGCCGTGTCCAATTAGTGTCCTGCGGGTTGAGTTGCACCCTGATGGCCCGACATCTTCAACTGCTTCTCCTTCTCTCCACAGACACTGGTCCAAGTAGGAACTTATGCGATGGGCCGGGATCCCCGCTTTTTCACCAAACCTGAGCTGTTCAACCCCGAAAGGTGGCTGAGCGAGGACTCCAGGCACTTCCGAGGGCTGAGCTTTGGTTTTGGGCCGCGCCAATGTCTCGGGCGCAGGATTGCAGAACTGGAGATGTACCTTTTCTTGATCCATGTGAGTCCGACCCTGTTGCAATCCCTCGGTGCAAGGAGTGTGTAAGGCCGCAACGTGGTGGGTTTGTTATCGCACATGCTCTGGCCAGTTGGAACTGACGGTTGTCGGTGGCACTGGGAGGCCGGACTTTCACGGTGGTGCCCTCACGAATCGGCATCATGGGATGTTTGAAACATCTTCTGAGCTGAAAGGTCGATGCACAGACTCGGGCACGGCAGGGCTATCGAACCTCTTCTGGCCTGGCCTTCTGTAACGCTGGAGAATCTCCCTGGAGGCGCATTCCAGTGTCTGGGAGGGCTGAAGCCAGACAAGCCAAGAGGAAACACCCCGAATCCCCACATAGTTCAACCTGTTAGAAAGGGCCGGGGTGAGAAGCTGAGATGTGATCAGGCACCGTGGAGGAAAGGGGTTGTGGCCAGAGGGAATGGGCCATACGGAGAATGCTGGCAGGCCCAAATTTGCCCTCATGGGAGCAAAATTTTGCCCTGGGGCAGATGTTCAGTTCCCCTGGTGCAGGGAGAAGGGTAAGAAGTCAGCCACGTGATCAGGAGAGAATGAAATGTACAACCAATGATGATTATGTTAAAAGTGGTAATGATTAACAGTGGTCTGGAAGTCCAGTTCTGTCTCCCATGATGGGGATCCAAACTGCCGGTCATGAATGTGGTAAGGATCCTGGTTCCAGTGCATCAGTTTTAGCAGTGCTAAATACCTGAATCTCTTGCATCACACCTGCTTCCTGTTTTCCATCCTGCCGCCGCCACTGTCTCGTTCTTTCCCTTTCTCTCTCTCCCTCCTTCCAGATGCTGGCAAACTTCAAGATTGAAATGAAGAGGGGAGTGGAAGTTGGTACCACATTTGACCTTATCCTGATCCCAGACAAGCCCATCCACTTGACTCTACGGCCTCTCGACTCGCATCCACGAGCGAAGGAAGAATTCCCATCAGCCTCTGGGGCAAGATGAAGCACGTGACACTTAGACAAAGGTTGGATGCTGCCCGGCCGGCCCACATACTACCCAGTCGATCAATGTCCCAGCATTCTGCGGGCAGCTTGCAGAAACACGGGCAGCGGATGAGATGCCGACTCTGAGAGAAACGATCCGGGGCACATCTCCTCAGCATCACGTCCCTTGCTCTTGAGATACAGTTTAGACAAATGAAGGAGACCGGCCAGGTCTTCCGGTAGTCATAGGGTTGAGTACGATAGTAGCAGAGCCTCTTGCGTCAGGCACAAGATCCTTCTGGCCCAGGGTCTCGTTTCCCACCGTGCCCAACCAGGTGTCTTTGGAAGGCTCCAAGGAAGAGCAAGTCACAATAGCATTCCTGAGCTTCTGCCGCCCTCCACAACCCCGCTCTTTCCGCAGCACTTTATTCTTCCGAGCTCCCTTTCTGGAGGGATGCTCGGCCGGGTGAAGAGCAGTTGAGAGCATGGGAGCCATGTGGATCAGAGCAAAGCCCAGGCTAGTCCAGCTTCACCCAGTGGCCAAACAGTTGCTTGGTCCCCCACCGCTGTTGTCCAGGCTCACACTGACCTCTGGTCTGGAGGCCCTCAGGCCTACCAGCCATTGCCAGCTTTCTCCTCCAGCAGTCCGACTGTCCAGATTGGAGAGCACAACACCCACCACAGGAAATCTTGAGCTAGCAGATGTGATAGCTGAGAATCCCCCAAGCAAATCATCCTTCACAGCTGAGTTGGGTTCATTTGGGTGGCAGCTAGGATAAAGTTGGAGGGGGCCCGGCATGCCAAATTGTTCCAAACCAATTCACATCACTTCTAAGTTAGTTATAAATGAAGAGAAACAGGATAGAACATGGAGGGACAACTGGATCGACAAAATCTTGTAAATCGTCCCTTGGGGACGACATTTTGCTGAAAAAATAAACTTGCATTTCAACCAAGTCTATGTGCTCATTTTAACTTGTTTAATTTTTAATTTGTTCTGTTGGCTTACTCTGGTCTATGACTTTAATGAAATTGAGTCGAAAAACATCCACATGCTGACCAAGTGGTTTGTTTTGTTAAATCGGGTGCACAGATTTTACGCTTGTGGGACTGACTTTGGTTTCACCTTCCTTTTTTACCACCAACCACAACCTAGAGGAAATGATGTACCCATGTGTCTGAGCTCAGGAAAGAATGGAGCCTGCTATCCATTCACACAAAAAACTACTCCTAGGTATCCAAGCTTCCCTGATTCTGGCATTCCTTTGACTGAGTGGCTGTTCAAACTTGTGCTTATTAAGCAATTGGAAGTCAGAAATCCTGGCTGATCACGCACAGCCACCAACCAATAGATCCTGATCAATCTTCTGCCCTAGACCATAGTTAAGGATGGCCACATTTTCCCCAGCTTTGCACATAACAGCAAACCACCATTAGCCAAAAGTGGAAGCCCGCGGGAGAAGGGGGAGCTCAGAAGCACACGGTTTCCTTCTAAAATGCTAAACTAGGGTCCACTCTTAGATCCGAACACAGCACTGGGAATGCACGATCCCATTCTGAAGTGGTGGTCCAGTATCTCACCCCGGTTTTCTCCTTTCTTCCAGATAAATCACCAGTTGGAGTTTATTGACCTCATGAGTAATATTGTTCAGGGAAGGGGCACCGAGACTTTAGTACAGCCATATAAGGAAGTCTGTATTCGGCTCAGCTTCTCACAGGGTGAGATGTACCCAACCTGGGGCCAATATTTTCTGTAGAGAATCGGTCCCCCTGCATACGTGGAACACCATGGATCTCACAGAGTCACGACAAAACCTGGAGGCTCCAATGCCTCTTCTGATCGGCCGGTGAATTGAGACGAGTCTTCTGGAAAGGGGGAGAGAACAGACATCAGTAGGGTGCCCCAAAACCCCTCGAAAGCTTTCTTTCCCACCCTTGGGGCAGGAGCCATTTTGATAGCCAAACACCCATGTGGGATCTTGCGTTGCTGCTCCCCCATCCAGGCAAAGCTTCGGCAAACAGAAACACAAAAGCAAAGGGAGGGTATGCCAACACGACAGCGCTTCCCTGCGTGGCAAAGAGGTTAAGGGAGCTGAGATTCCGTTGCCTGTTTCCCCCAGAGGAAACAGCCCCAGGACATGGGGTTCGGGGTGCCCTGGAAGCCACTGGGCCTGTGAAGATGTAGCCCCAGAAAAGCGCTGGGATCCACCAGTCAGGGTGAGGGGAGAGGCCAGGGGCTAACTTTTTAAAAGGACTACCTGGGCAGTGCCCCAGGAACCCCACTTCCATGTAAATATGGTTGGCTCCCGGCTGGTGGAATAGATGCCACATCACTCTAAGCAAGCCACCCAACAAACTGGAAACGTTAAAAAAATGATGGGGAAAATATGGGCCTGTGCTGCAAACGGAAGACTATACCCTTCACAGATCACGCCCCACGTGAATCTGAGGTAAGTTCCATTTATTTCTACTGGTCTACTTTAAGAAGGGCTACACTGGGTGCAAGGCTCGGTCTGTGTTAGAGAACGGGGCTTGGTGTCCTGCAGCCACACTGCTTCCATTAAAGGGGCTGCTTTTGTTTCCAGCCTGGCTCATTTCCAAGATCACAGAAATGCGATCCAGCAGCGACTCCTACGAAATGACGGCAGACTTTTCGCAGCGTGAGCAGCTGCTAATCGGAACTGTTCTGGTCCATTGGGCTCCCGGGGCGCTTGGTCTTTTCCTAGGACTTCATCCCATGCGCGTGCCTCCACGATTCTTCTCTGATTTGGGAAACGCAGCATTTGGCACCGTTTTCCCAGCCCTTGGGGTCCCTTCTTCATGGCCACTCGGATCCACCTGGCCTGGGGAGCTATTGTGTGTTCTCAGGGGACACACGCATAGCCCCATAACAGAAAGGAATGCGCATCTTGGGAGTCAGCGTTAGCATGCTTGCAAGCAAGTTGCTGCAGAATTAAATTTGCCCGAAGCTCAGCAGAGTACCCGGATCACAGAGTGAGGAACGGAACAGCCTTCCACCTTTGCAAAGCTGGCTCAGGTTGAGCCGGGCAGTGAAAGCTATTGCGAATGGGATGAGAAAAGCGCTGCTCTTTGCTGACCTTGTCCTCAAATGCTGGACGCGGCTGTTTGCTGTCTCTCAGGCCCAGTGAAGCCCGGGCAATTTGTGATAGCACTCAAGGGCAGAAAGAAAAGTCCTTCATTCATGGATGGCACCCTCTCTGCTGGGTGATTTATCTCTCCTTGGCAGCTTGGGACAGTTAAGAAGGCAGAGATAGTGTGTGTGTGTGAGAGAGAGAGAGATAGAGAGAGAGGCAGGGCTGTTTAACCGGCAGTGTCTCTTTAGGGTCTCAGGCGGGGGAAAGCTTGGAAATGTTGGGAACTGACCCTGGGATGTTCTGCTTGCAAGGCATGTGTCCCAGCACACAGCTGTGCCCTTTCCCAAGCCAAACTGACTTGTACCCCTGCATTTTCTTCCGTGCGTCCAAAAGCAGTGGTGGATTGGTGCGAATTGGTGGTGGAGGCAGGACTGCAGCCTGGTTTAGGTGAAGGAAGACGTGAGCATCGGGGAATGGGGGGAATCCTTGGGATGCATCACGTTCACGGGTATTTTGACGGAGGGACGAGGAGGCTCTTCCGAGATGCTTGGATGGTGATGCTGGTTGGATCAGGCCAGGATGGCCTGCCCACCATGTAGACGGAAGGGCTCTTCTGCCTTTTCGCGGTCCCCAGATAAGGGCACTCAGCTTCAGACGAACCTTCTGCAGGGGACCAAGCGGCCACCTCTTCCAGCCCTGTGCTCCTACAGTGGACAATCGGATGCCTCTGGGTGGCCCACGGCTATGGCGTGAATGCAGCAGCCCTTTCATGCCCATGTTCCCCAACACCTGGGGCTCAAGGGCTTGTGCTTCTAGCACTGGAGGAAATACCCGGTCATCATGACTTATTTGCCATCATTTGTATGGAGTTGGTTTCCCACCTAGCAATCGTGGGGGATTTTGTTACCCGACCAGGGGATCTCAGATTGTGGAAGGGGTGGAGGTCCCACACCCAGTCACTGAGGGCATTGACCAAGGGGCAGTCGCCGCACTGACCTAGGAGCACCGCTGACCCTGCACTGGACTACTAGTGTGAGTTCTTCCCTGTCTTCACCGTGTACATCTTTCTGCTCTTCTCGTCTTCATCCCCTCTCCCTTCCTTCTCGTCCTGTGGATATGGGAGCGGGGAACGTTAACCAGCTGCAGACATTCCACAAGGAGCTAACCTAAGGCTGAAAGGAACGGCCACGATGCCTCCACAAGATGAGGCAACTGTGGTTGTGGGAAGAAGCACCAAATTTGCCCTGGTGCATCCAAGATCAGGAGTGGGCGGGAGGTAGCTCTCCAGATATCTTGGACTTCTTCTTCCCAAAAGCACAGCCATATAGAGTCAAGAACCTGGGAGAAGAAGTCCAAAAATGGAGACCCACGTTCTTACCACTTCTGCCCTAAGTTGTTGTGACGTTGCGGATGTCAACCTTGAGCGAGCTTGCTGCCCTCAGGAGCTGTGATGGACAGCGCCTGTCATCAAGGTTGGAGGAAGAGTCAGCTGCCGGTCTGGGTGGACCGGAGAAGCTCTGGGGCCCTTGGCAATTTTTAGTTGCTGTTTAAATGTCCCCATGATGCACCAGGGGGAGACTATACCAGGGGGAGACTATACCAGGGGAATACCACCTCAGGGTCAGATCAGGCCCACATGGGTCCCCAGTCTGGCTCTTTGGAGTTCTCCAGATGGTCACAGGACCTTCTTTTGACCACCAACGGTTTCAACGGCTTCCCCAGCTTTTGTACAAGATTTCCCCCCATCCTAAAACTTGAACTGGTTCTCTTGGTTACTGGCAGTAAACGTCTAAAGCTAAAATAGGCAAGTAGCTAAAATAAGCTAAAATTGTCACCTGTCCTTTCGGTTTCGCACCATTTTGTCTTTGGCCTCATACACCACTGCGTTAGGGTGTAGAAGTAATCGAAATGGATTTTTCCGGTTTGGCCTTGCTGAATTTTTCTCCACCTCACTTCACTGGCATCAGCCTGACTTGTAGCAGGTCAATCATTTTTAAAGGGTGACCGAATCGGGTATTTTTGGGGTGGAACTTGAAATGTGTACAAACGGGGTTGGGTTAAAAAAAAATCCTACCCTGTGTAAGAGGCAATCTTGCCTTGTCAATTTCCACGTACATTTCAGGACTGCAGGTAAGGTTATTTGGGAACGCTTGTGAAGGACTAGCGGAAAATATGAGGAAGGCAAAAGAAGAACCTTTTTGCTCAATTCAGAAGCACCGAAAAAGAAAAAAGGAACGCAAAGGAAGAAAGCACACCAAAGGGCGGGGTGAATGTATCTCCCACCAGGAAATGTTAGTTCAAGATGACACTTATTTATTTATAATATTTATATGCTGTCCTATTCGCAAAAAAGCCTCAGGACGGCTTACGATATAAAATATATCATAAATAACATAAATAAATTCCCGACCCACACTGGGTCCACCTCCACCCAGCGAACTCCTGCAAGGTGAGAAATGGGCATTATTTCTTCCCCCACCTTTGCTTCAGCTCCTCTTTGAAGCAGTTACCTCTGTTATCCCAACATCTTCTCCATTTACCTCTAAATATGGAAAGTAATTGGAGCAAAGGTTGCACAGATTTGGAAGCTGGGAAGTTGTTGGCAGGTGTGGGGGTAAAAGTATAACTTCAGAGGCTGGGAAACAGTCCCGGGCAGCCAAGAAACCCGGGAGCTGTCTGCAGATACACAAACATTCCATAACAAGCCACCTAGGACAGTGATGGCGAACCTTTCAGAGGCCAAGTGCCCAAACTGCAACCCAAAACCCACCTATTTATCACAAAGTGCCAACACTGCAATCTAACCTGGAAACAGGTTTAGTTTAGAAAAAGCAACCCACAGCCAGTTCAAGGAAATACACATATATCCTTGGCAGCGCACTGAGCAGCCATGCGAAAGCTCGGACGAGTTGCAGCTAATGAGTCGCGGCTTGTGACGTCATCGCCTGGCGCCGCCACTCCTTTCCGAGCCTGCGCATGGCCCCTGCGTGCGCTGTGATCCGATGCGCGGCTGCTGGGGCGATGCTGGAGCGACTTGGCTCATGTGCCGATAGAGGGGCTCTGCATGCCCGCTGCGGCTCGCGTGCCACAGGTTCACCGCCATTGACCTAGAAGGTCTGCCTACCTGGCCCAGGTAGACCATGTTCCTGGCCAAGGTGTGCGGGTTACTCACCTGCAAAAACTCCTGAATGATGAGGGAGGTTGGCGATCGGCTGAATCCAAGGTCCTGCTCTAGAAGCCGATTGTTGTAATCCTGTTTCTCTCGCCCCCACCTCCTGGAGGAGTCCTCCAGCTGCAGCAGACAGACCAAACACCCCGCAAAGCGGACTTGGATTTCCAGCATGTGTACTTTCCTAAGCTGATTCCTGCATGTCCGACCACCGTTTGAGTTCTAGTCCTTTGGAGTCAGGGCTTTCCTTGTCGTCCAGGCCAGCCTGATTCAGCCTGGTGGGGGCTGCTGGTCTTGATGGCTATGCTCTCAGTGCGCCTGAGTACACCAGTTTCTGGGGAACGCAGGTGGGAGGGTGAGCGGGACCCATGCCCTGCTGGTGGGTTTCCTGTGGAAAGCCAGTTGGCCACCAGGGGATCAGCATGCTAGACTTAGTTGGCTCCATCAGGGATCCTCCGGCTGTATTGGACTACAAAATCCATCAGTGCTGGCCAGCATGGTCACTGGCCGTGATCACCAGGCAAGGCGTGAGGGTGCCAGGCTGGGGGACGGCTGGAAGAGGCATCAGTGCCTTTCTTTCCAGTTCAGGCTTTATGTATGTATGTATGTATTTATTTTATTTCTCTAGGGGACTTCTATGCCGCCCCATTCGCCGAAGCCTCGGGGCGGCTCACAACCATAAATAAATAGAATCCAATAAAACAATATAAATTAACAATATAAATTAAGTCGCCCTGGCCAAAGAATAAAATAAATAAATAATATTAACAATTAAAATGACGTTTGAATAAAAAGGCCTTCGCCTGGCGCCGAAAAACAAATAACGACGGCGCCAGGCAGATCTCTCTGGGGAGCGCATTCCATAGATTGGGCGCCACCGCAGAGAAAGCCCTCCTCCGGGTACTCACCCTCCTAATTTCCTTCACGGAGGGTTCGCGGAGAAGGGCTTTGGAAGGATGCTCCGGGATGGAACGTCCATTGGTCCATCCCGGCCAGTGCTGTCAACATTGGCTGGCAGCAACCCTCCGGGGCTTCAGGCAGGATGCCTTTCCAGCTCTACCTGGGGATGTCAGGATTCGAATCCAGAGCCATCTGCGTGCAAGGCAGGTGCTCTGCCACTGAGCCATGGGGTCCTAGGAGAAGAGCAACCCATGCCGGAGGCGTTCAGGGGATCGCAGCCCGTTACCTGGCATTCCAGGGCATGGACGCGGGCTTCGGCCCTCTCCAGTTTAGAGATCAGTGAAAGCTTCTCAGTGCTGCTGGAGAGACTGTCCTGCTGGGAGCGGAGGGAACGTGTTATAATGCAAGAAGAGAGAAACAGCATTAAAAAAAGATCAGAAAGAAAACCCTGTACAGCCTCAGGCTGGCATTGACTTGCGGAAAGCAGAGCATCGCTAACTCCGAAGGACTTGCCACATCCCTCTGTTTTCTCTCCAGAGTGGCTTGCCCCGTTCTGGCATCGTTTTTGCCCATCAAAGTCGCTGCTATTGGCTGAAGCAGCAGCTCATTTGATCTGGGACAGGGTAATTGCTTATGTGCCCCCCACCCCCCAGTACTCCCTTTAGAGGAGAAGCAGTGCTGGGAACCAGGCAGTAAGTGGTATTTGCATGCCGATCAGTCTATTAATCGTGAGCTTTAGTTGGCTGATTGATCGACCGACTGACTAATTGCACAGTCAGCTAAAAGCACGTCTGGCAAACGGCCTCATTGAAGAGTTGCATTTGCCCTTCACCTGCCACGGCATACAATCCCTGAGAACTTCTTCTTGGGTCAAGCAGATCCCAAAGCGAGCAAAATGGTTATTGCTTTGTCCCAGAGCTTTCCAAAGCTTCACAGAGCTTTGGCCCTCTTCTTTCTTCATTCCTCTTCCAGCCACCCAGAATGGTTATGAAAACCTGGAGACAACTCTGATGGAAGGAAGCAGCCCATAATATTCAGGATCTGCGGTTGCCGGGGGGGGGGGGCATCTTACCGGCAATGCCTGCTGCTGCAATATGATGGGGGCACGGTAAGAGGACTTGCCCAGTTCATCCCGCAACCGCATGTTCTCCATCAGAAGGGTGGAATACAGATCCTTGGACCAGCTGTCGCCTGGGACGAGACAGAAGGTGCTCAGCAGAAGAGAGAAGGGCTCTGCAGGCATCGGCCGGCTCTCAAACAGGGAACTGCTGAGAGGCTGCAAGCTGCAAATAATTTTCTCGATGGGAATTGTTTCGTCATTTCAGCAACACACACTGCCCCAGTGCAGCGCTTCATCAAAAGCGTTGTGGGAAATCCAAACGGTGCCAGCCTGGGGCGCTGATGGGGAACACGGGCACTGCTGCCAGAACCCACGAAGGCACAAGAGGCTCTGCCTGGGGCCGTGTCGCCAAGGGCCCCCTCGGATCTGGCCCCGTGGAACAGCAGCAGCCATCGTCACAGGGGTTGTTGGGGTATCTCAGTGACAAACCTCAGCAGGCCTCTGAGGGCACCCCCTTCCTGCCACAAGAGAGGCACAGGGTGTATTCGACTTACTCAGACCTCGGGCCGAATCTGGGAACTGGACTGCATCTTTCAACCGCTCCTTCATCTTATCTTCCAGCATCTTCTCCATCCTCTCAATCACCTGTTGGCGGAAGCAGTGGCTGAGGCCTGCTGAGAAGGGGGGGACCCTTTGCCCCACCCCAGGGACTTCCGGAAGGAGCCAGTGGCCCTGCGCTGCTCTTGTACTCAACCTGTCACGATGGAGGCCAAGCATGGCTGCTCATGCTTCACCCAGAAAGAGGGCGGAAGAGAACAGCGCATACCATTGGCTTGTTCATACGTTCAGACGCACATTTAGAAATGAGGGACGCCATTTCAGGAGAAATTCTGCATGAGTTATCCTAGCAGGGCAGGCTGTGACTAGGGGAATCTCTGAGGGGCAACTGAGGGCTTTCCTGGACCAGGCAGGCCTTCAAATAGAGGACGTTCTCCAACAGAGGACCATCTTCTGTAGAGGACTTTATGCTGGGTTCAAGCACGGTCTATTACCTTAAAAATAACCCAAGGATTTCAACCATTCTCTCTGCAACAAGCTGGCACAATTGCTCCCTATCTGGAATCGTAAGCCAAAGAGTTCAGACGTGTGGCTGAGGCCCTCAACTGAGACCCTGCTTCTCGCGTTTGCTCCCAGTCACCTTTTCCTGCTGCCTCACGGCATCTTCCAGCGCTTGCATCTTGGCTATCTTAGCCTGGCATCTCCGGAGCATGAGCTGCTGCTGCTTGTGAGCTCGCTGGAGCAAAACCAGGTCCTTTTCCCGGTCATTTTTCTGGTGGGAAGGGAGCCAAGAGAAGTGAGAGGCGGGGATGGCAACAGCGGTAGGAATGATTGGGCAGCTCCCCGGGGGCCTACATCCCACTGGGGGGCACTTGGACTCGCTCCTTCTTTCACCGCCATCACAGGCTTGTCCACCTGCCTCTGGTTCTGCCCAGAAGATGGTGATGGTGGGAACGAGGAGCCATGGATACTAAGAATCCGAGGCAATAAAATGGAAGAGTTCTTTCGCACGGCTCTTCCCGGGGCTGAGTGGTCTACTAAAAGAAATTGGGTGGGGGGCAATTGGGTCCTAAAACAGCAATTTCACTGGTGGGGCCATGAACCACCCTGACATTAACTGTGCAGGGGCTTTGGTTTCTTTCTCTGTCTCTTGCAACAGCTACAGGGGCCCTCCCATCCTGACCCCCATGATGCCCTTGAAGCGGTGTTGCCTTGAGGCATTGTGGGAAAACATGGCAGCCCCCCTCAGTGGCAGGTGCTCTGTTGTGTGTGGTGGCTGCCATTTTGTGTAGGCGTCTGCTCAGCAGTCTGTGTGGACTGGATGCATTCTGGGGCCTCAGGCTTTGCCCCTTCATCACAACCCTGCTTGCACACCACTGAGGTCCAGAGGAACCAAGCGGAGCCCAGAAGTCTCTGAGGGAGATCTCTTCCAAAGTATAGGAAAGATGCGCGGATGTGCACGTACCCGGATCAATTCATTCTGCAGCTTTTGCACCCGATCTTTCATCCTGGCCATCTCCCGAGCTCCAGAAGACAGTTTCTGCTTCAGGGCCACTAAAAGAAGGAGGAAACAAGAACAAAACCCCATCACAACAGGTTATGGTTCCCATCCATGATGAGGCAGTGGCAGCTGGTGCCCTTAGGAGCTGGTGGGGCAGGAGAGAAGGCAGGTGTTCAGCGTTCTACCAAGATCGCCAGAGCCACACAGGAGGAGACCCTGCGTGGCACCTGGAAGCAGTGGGGGGAATGTACCAGGTGGCTGGGGAAGAGGCAGGGGGTCCTTGCCTCACTTTACCCATATAGAGCTGCCTTTTCCATGGGGGTGGGGGTGCTTCTTCTCCAGGAATAGGAGAACTCACCCAACCCAGAGATGAAGGTTGTGAGGTGAGGCTATAAACACATGAAGGGGACTTATATTGAGAGAGACCACTGGTCCATCTGGCCCATGACTGGGAATTCTGGTTCCCAGGAACCCTCACCGTTGGATGAGTCTGTATCTGCCTGGCCTTGGAATATGTCCCAACCAGAACTTTCCCCTTCATTCCCATGCACTTCTTCCCACATAAGTGCCTTCTCTCACCCTTGCCATGCCCACCCCCGGGGCCCACGGTGGCATGGTAGCAGAGAAGCGGGAGAGCCACTTACGAATCTTGTCTACTATTTCTGCCTTGGTCATGACATCGAGGTCTATGTCCTGAAAGAGGGCACGGCCCACGTCCTCATGCAAGCAGAGGCTGCGCCTCAAGGTGCTGTTCTCGGCCTCCAGGTTGGCTACGTGCCGGCGCAGGGATAGGATATCATCGGCCATCCTCTGCAAGGCTGCGCGGTAATTTTCTGACTCCTGTGAGTCCCATTTGAGGGGAGAGGAAAGGAGAGAAGAGGAGAGGACAGAAGGCAGAAGGCAGAAGGCAGAAGGCAGAAGGCAGAAGGCAGAAGGCAGAAGACGAAGGGAAGGGAAGGGAAGGGAAGGGAAGGGAAGGGAAGGGAAGGGAAGGGAAGGGAAGAGAAGAGAAGAGAAGAGAAGAGAAGAGAAGAGAAGAGAAGAGAAGAGAAGAGAAGAGAGACCCAAGAAAGATACCTTCCATGAGAACACCTCCTCTTCCTTTCTGTCATGCATGGAAATTGATCCTGCATTGCCCCCAAAGAGGAAATGCATTCAGAGGGCAAAAGAAGGCACAGGTTTGCATGACATTTGCATACGCTAATGCATACCTAGAGATGTAAATGTAGAAAGCGGGACTAATTGTTGCATAGAAATATAATACATCTGGGAAGGGTGGTGGGGAAGTCTGCGTGGCACGCGGCTTCCAAGGAGCCATCTGTGGGGGGGCAACTTCCAGGCCCGGCTGCTCTCTTAAGACGAGTGCTGCCAAGGCAGGCCGGAGACCACCTGGTCCAGAGTTCTGCTCGCCGAGGGCCAAGCCGCCACCCGCAGAAACCCACAAGCAGGCCCTCCTGCCCATGCTCCCCAGCAAGTCCTGCGCAGAGGCATCCTGCCCATGAGGCTGGAAGTAGCTTCCGAGGGCCTCCCACCCAAGACTCTGTCCCTGGTTTTTCCTCATCCATTTTTATTTACTGATCATTTGATGGCTACTGATTGATTTTAAGAAGGGGAAGGAATAGACATGGCAACCAGGGCTTTTTTCTCGCACAGCAAGGTTGTCACAGGGCATCATAGCCGCCATGAAAGGGCAAGTGCCCAGTGTCTGGCCTTAATCGCGCTCCACTCCTCTTCCTCAGATGATCCTGATTCCAGCGTCAGGAGATGGGGAAGCGCTGCTCCCTGCCCCTCCCTCCACCCCAGGCAAAACTTTCTCCACCTCTGTTCTGCCCCTGCTCCATTCGCTACCTTCCCCCCAGCTGGCTAAGCAGCCCCAAAGAGTGTCATCTCTTCCCACGGGGAGCTGCCCGGGCCATGACCGTTGGCGTTACCGCGGTTCTCTGTCCTTCTCTGGCACACCCCGTACGCACTTCCTTCGACCTGCAACTCTAAGCAACGTGGCAAGCTTCCCCAGCCGCCCCCCCCCCCCGTGGCCCTGGCCACACGCCAACCCACGCCTCATGTCCCGGTCTCCCGGGCCCACCGGATCCCGAGATACCGGGCCTGATGCAGCGACCTTGGCTGTGTTCTCCTCCTGCTCGCTCTCTCCCCACGCATCTCTGCGCAAAGGGCAGGCGTGCTGCACACAGGGAAGCCGGCTGAGGAGGAACCGCTGTCTGTCCGGCCGCGCCCTCCCTCCCTCCCTCCCTCCCTCGCCAGCCACCTGTGGCCTCGCTGACTGAAAGGCGCACGGCATTCCATGCGCGCAGGGCAAGAGGAATCAGGCTGGTAGGGAAGCAGGCAGGGAAAGACCCGTTCGGCAAAGGCCTGGCTGTGAGCTTGGACTTCCTGTGTGCACCCTGCACTCCTCCCCGTTTGCTGGCACCATTCCGCATGTCTCCTGGAGTGGTGCTGGCACCGGGGTTTGGGGCGAGGGCCAGATGCCCCCAGTCGCCCTCCTTCAGCGGGCCGCCCCCCTCGCTGCCACTGCCTCCAGCTGCGCGGGCTCCTTCCCCCTTCCCCATCATGGGGCTGCTCGCCTGCTGGAGAGGCGGCGCGCCAGGGAGCATGGAGGCCGGGGCATTGCCTGTGCCTCCTTCTCGGTGCCACGGTTGTCTGGGGCAGAGCAGGAGCGCATGGACCAGCAGGCTGCAGTGGAGAAGAGGAGGAGCGACTCCAGCGGGAGCGTGGCAGCTGCCCAGCCGTGCTCGGCGCTGCCCCTCGGCCCTGCATGGTGCGTGTGATCGGGAGGAGGAGAGAGAGTGACCCCGGCCAAAGTCCCACTGGCCCATGCTTCCCCAGCCTGGAGCCCTCGAGCTGGACTTCAACTCCCAACAGCCCCAGCCAGCTTAGATTGCTGGGCATTAGAATCGAACCTGTTTGGAGAACATCAGATTGGGGAAGACGGATCTAGTTTGACATCCTGGTTCCGGCAGGAACCAGCAAGGGAGCAGCTGGCAGCTGGCCCTCCTTTGCCTCCCAGGAACTTGCACTCAGGAGTGGTACACTGCTTCTGAGGCTGGAGGTTCCATTGCTAGGATTTTCGTGTGTATAGACCAGTATGGTGTGTGTGTGTGTGTGTGTGTGTGTAGGAGAGAGATCAGGAACCTAGTGTGGGGCACAGAGAGTTTTCAATCCCTTTCACTCTCCCCAATTCCCGATCTGCAGCTCCATCCGTCTGCACTGAGTGCCCCTCCTCAAATCACACTGGTAAAAATGGAGCCCTCTTTTTGTAGTGCAAACTGCAGGAACGGGGAGCGCAGTCGGGAAAGCGACGAGGGTGGGGGGCGAAGCATGCAAGCCCCGTCTCCCACCCCACGGCTTGAACCCCCCTTGCTGTGCCTGCCGCCTAGCCGGGCCAGCAATGCCCCACAGAGGCCCGAGGAGAGCAGAGCTGACTGTGGCCGACTGGGAAGGGGGGCGCAGCTGCCCGGCTTGGGGGCAGGGGTGGCCTTGGCCGGCACAAGCCCGGCGGCCTTCAGTGGGGTGAGGAGAGATAAGCATGGATGTTTGTTTATGGCGTGCGGGGACCAATGGCCTGGAAGCAGCGGAGGGGCACCCTTTCTGCTCCTCCGGACGATGCGGCAGCCCCCGGAGACCCTGCTTTCTGGCCCTGAAAAACAGCGCAGCCTTCGCAGCTCAGGAACCTGCTTCTCCAGGGAGAGAGGAAGATGCACAAGTCGTGCCGGCTGGCCGAGTGTCCTAATTTTCGGTGGCTGGTCCTCTACTTGCACATCTGTCAGAGGACAGCCCTGCCTTTGCCAGTCCTGGCCTTCCAGGCCAGTCTGGTTTCCCAAGAAGGGAAAGCCCTGAAGCCTTGGAGTGGCCCGCTCCCCAATGCCAGGCTGTGAATCACAGTCACGGTCTTCCCCACGAATGGCTTATAATTCCCATTGAAAGTAGAGTCTTTATGCAAAGTTTGAATGGAGTCAGAGATGTGGAAGGGTGCTCAGAGGTCATCTAGTCTAACCCCCCACTCCATGAAGGCTTGGCTCTTCAGGATGCAGCTACAAGCATCTGTAAGAACTAACGGCCATGCGGTCTCTCCCTAAATCCCTCCAGCAATGGAGAACCTCCCACCTCCCAAGTCAGCTTGTTTCGCTTTTGAACAGCGCTCACTCGCCGTCTCCTAATGTTAAGCTGATCTGCTTCCCTGCAGCTTCCAGCCTTTGGTTCTTTCCTACCTTCTGGAGTAACAGAGAACAACTCTGCTCCCCCTTTCAAATATTTTAAGCTTGTCACCACGTTTCCCCTTCATCTTCCCTCCTGCCAGCTCAACATACCCAACACATTCAAGCATGCCGCAGGATGGCCCCGTTCAGAGATCACACTGAACCAGGGGCTGGACTAGATGATCTCTAAGGTCCCTTCCAAGTCCATGATCCTGTATGACCCTGCTGAAAGTGAAGCAACGTGGCTCAGCGGGATCTGCCTCTCCCAGCTACCTATCCCGAGGCCTGAACTTAATGGGTCAGGCTTCCCTTGGCTGATCACACATTTGCATATTACTCACTAAAACTGTTGTTTCAAGGCATGGCCTTCCAGGCTAGGACTGGGCGGAACGTTCCCTCCTTCTGGAGAGGAATGTTCAGGGAGCCTGGAGGTCACTGGTGTGCTTTTTCTAAGGCTGCGCAAGAGCTTTTATTCGTCATTCATGTAAAATATATTATCTTTCTTCTGGAGGGCTGCTGCCAAAGGATGCCGTAACCACTCCGAGAGCAAAATGGCTCGTACCTGTATTTTCTACCCTGACCAACAGAGGTTCAGTCAAATTGCAGAAACCCCCTAAACCAAAATTAGCAGTCATTTTACTCTCCCTGGGGACAAACTAGAGCGTGTGAGCTTTTCTACCTCTGTGCATTAGCATTTCTTGCAAGCATTTCCCAGTCTGCACAAGAGAAATGCCTTTCATACGGCGGGAAGCACCTGCAACATTTCTTTTCCAGCCCACTAAGCAAGTCACCCGTGCAAATCTAGCTGTTTTCTGCAGAGGGCAGCATTTTGCTTCCAATGCACATTTTTCTATTCCGATTTCATCTCTTCCAAGTGTTTCTCTTCCCTGTGTATTTCCAGAGACCTGGCATCTCATCCACAACATATCCCAAGCCACATATAGTCATCCGCTCTGGGGTCCTTTAAGCGTAAAGAGAAACTGTTATGTACCCCCTTCTCCAGCCCCAGGCACTTTGCCTGCCTCCCCAGTAATGAAACCATTCCATGGCTTAGTTCTAGATCCAAATCCAACGAGCTTCTTCCCCAGCTGTCACTGAGCAACAACTTTCTTTGGAAGAGGAGAACTGGGAAGCAGGGCCCACCTCACTGGCTTGGCAAGAGTCGGGATGTGGAGGAATCCAGACTGGAGCTGGGAATCCAATGGATTCCTCATCAGGAAGCAAGCTCCGTGCTCTGTAGAAGCACCAAACCTCTTCCATGCAGCATTCAGCAGCCAGGCGTGCTTGGAACAACAGAAACTGGTTGGTTCACAGGCACTCATTACTCATGGCATTCGCTTCATGAATGGGTCTTATTTGACAAAGGAATTTCAAATGAATGGGCATCCCGCTGCCCCCCCCCCCCACCTTGGCCTCCGTGCTTCCTCAAAGAAAATAATAATAATAATAATAATAATAATAATAATAATGCTTACCATGTCCTGAACCTCTTCAATGATAGGCCTGCCGAACACAGAACAAGGGGTCATTACGGGGAATCCCCTTCATGGGACCCTCATCAAGCAGAAAAGACTGAATAGGTGCGTAAAGCGCTTTACTCAGAGGTAGCAGAAAGCCCCTCTCTGTGAGCATTCTAAGTCAGGAAAGGGGCTTCTTCTAGAAATGCCTTGAAAAGCATCTTGCCAGCAATTTTCCATCATCCCCCTTCCATTCCCCACCTCATTTCTCTTAAAAAATATTTATTGTATTTATATCTTGCCTTTTATCCTGCAAGGTACCTCGTCTTCTCTCTTTTATCCTCACAACAGCCCTGCTGTGCTGCACTGCTAGGAAAGCAGGAGGATTGTGGTTTTTTTTTTTTTACAAATCATACACCCATGCTCTGTTTGAAGTTATGGCTATAACTTGCACTGGGAAAGGGGTTTCTTCATGCACAATGCACACTTTCCCCAGTCGAAGGAAATGAAAACAGCGCACAACAGAGCACTGGAAACAAGGCGAGCCGAGTTTGGCAGTCAGGAAAATTGCTTGCTCACTGATCCCAAGCACCACCAAGCGGATACAGCTCCCAGGAATGGCAGAAAATGGCCCAGAAAATGTCTTTGCTGCAAGAACAGTTGCTTTCCTTTCACGGGTCGTCGGGCCGCCGTACCTGCGGGTGGGTCCCTCCTGCAAGATCTCCGCCACGGCGTTGTGCGGGGGCATTTCATCCTGGGGCAGCTGCAGAGCAAAAGACAGGCTGGTCACTCGGGAGAAGCTGCAGCGAAGGAAGAATGCAGCCCCACTGCCTCCCCCTGCATTTTTCCTCCCAGAAAAAGATCTGCCGGAAGAAAGAGATGGAATAACCCACCGCACCTAGCCTTTCGACTGCTCGAGCCATTCGGACATTCACTTCTTGTATTCGTGTTCGACTTTTTTTGCTCAAGGCGGCGGTGTAATTCTCCTCCTCTCAAGCCTCACAACAGCCACCCTGCGAGGCAGCCTGGGCTAAAAGCCTGTGACTGGCCCAGGGTGACCCAGCGGACGCCGTGGCCCTCCGGAGCCCCAGTCCCGGGCCCTTACCCACCACACCGCAGTGGCCCTTGGGCTAGGCGCTGTCCGTCGGAAAACCTCAAATCTCCCTGCTTATTTTTTAATCAAACAATATTTTAACAATGTTTAATATTTATTGGGTTTTAATTGTGCAGCCAGGGTGTCTCCGGGTTTTTAACTGTATTTGTATGGTATTTATTTATTTCTGTGAGCCTTCCTGAGGCTATATAGCAAGGGGATGGCATACAAAAACTTTAAACACACAAACAAATAGATAAATGAAACCCACTTTTCCTCCAAGGCAGCATACAGAAAGGCTGCTCTAACCACTGAACTTTGCTCTCTAAGTTAGGACTGAGTTGTGGTTTGAGCCAAAGCGGAGAACTGCAGCCTATATTACAAATTATGATTCAAATTGACATGTGGCTTTCCAGAAAAGCACCAAAGCAGTGAACATAAAATCCAGTGGCATACAACTAGCAGTCAATATAATGTTAAAATAACGCAATACAAACGAATCAGCAATAGAATCGCGGAATCTACAATGTGCCACAAACCATCCTAAGGTCATATTTCAGAGGAAGCACATCTAAAGAAATGATTTTAAGAAGTTAGGGCATCAGAACGGTAGCTTGCTGGCCCCAGGGGAAAAATCACAGGACAAGAGATGCTGGAAGCCTCTGCCCCCCCACCCCATGGCGCTCTTAAATCATTTTATGCCCTGCACTTAATTTTCTCGTGGGAGGGGGTTTCAAAGGCCACGTGAAGCATTTCAGTATGTAAGCATCCAATCGCTGTTTCATCCCCCTTCTCCGAGTGTCATTTCATGCTTCACCCCTAAGACTATATTTTGAGCATGTTAGATATTAACTATCCCCGATTTCTGCTCATCACAGGAGCAGTTTGGCATTTTAATCTCCCTGGAACCAGGACAAGGTGGGGAATTGCTTCCGCTGTGCCCATCGCTTGCTTTCCCCACCCCAAGGGTGGCGTCCAGTCCTGGTTAAATCACCACCTTTGCAGCCCCGGCTACTCACGGTGCAGGAGAACGGCCGATAGTACAAGGCCATGTGCCGTTTCCGAGTGGTCCGGCTCTGTCTCAAACCTCTCTACCGGGAGGGGCGGGGCGGGAAGGGGGATCCTCGAGCATTCAGTGACCAGAAACAAGCGCTTCGACACTCCCCTAAGCGATCAGGTTAGCAAGCCTCTGACTCTGGGTTGCCAGGTGCCTGCTCTCTCCAAACAGCCGCTTCCAAAGAGCCGAGCAGCCTCCGGCACAGCAAAGCAAACAGGTGCGCTCACCTGGGAAAGGACGCGCCCTCTCCTGCATCCACCAGCCATGCCTGGTAGACAAAGAAAGCCGGGAGGGCCCTAAACTGGCACAGGTGGCCCGTGGGAGCACACGGGGGGGGGGGGAGATCTGGCCCTCCCTGGACAAGGCCGTTGGCTTGCACACCTGTTTCTAGCACACTCCACTGTTGTGGCTACAATAACGCCTCTCCTAGCAACCGGGCTGTCGTGTGTCCTTTGCTGAGGAGCAGGGCGAGTGGCAGCGACGAGCAAAGAAACAGACGTCAAATTCTTGTCCGTCTGACGGTTGTTAACACGGCTGGACGAATCTGCCAGTTTCGGTTTTTCAGGTTTCTGTTCGTAAGTCCGGTTTGTCCCAAATATTGAGGATTTTGCATAAAAATGGGCCCACTTTTACTTGGCTTCATGACAGATTGCATTTCTGTCCCATTGACCTACTGAAGCTCTCCACTGAGTTTGGTCTAATACTCACATTCTTTTTGCCCGAAGATAATGCACTTGGAACAGCATTCTTGCAAATATAAGCCCTTTCCTAACACACACAGATTTGGACTTCGGCTCCCAGAAGCCCCTGCCAGAATGACCCGTGGACAGGAATGCTGGGAATTAGGGCCCAGGGTCCCTGGAGATCTGCTTTCCGCCTACCCCTGAACGACACCATGGAGCAGCTCTTCATTGCCTGGCCAAGAGGCGGGACTACCCGGCTCTCCTTGCCCTGCGGCTCTGCCTCAGGTGTTCCAGAGCTCAGCCTTGGCCGACGAAGGGCTGTTCCCTGGCAATCGACACCCCATTTACCACCCTGCTCAAATGCTTCGGGATGCCGGCTGAGCATGATGGGGGCAGCTCCACCGCGGCCCCCAGATCCCAGAAGATAGCAATAAACGGAGGGAGGGTGAACTTTTGAGGGAACAGCCAGTGGGACCCACGTCCTGGCTTGCCCCTCTTCCCTCTCCACAAACTCCTTCCTTGGGACCTTCCCTCCAGTGGCCACACTCCCCAGAAGAGGCTCTGGGGAAGGGGCTAAGACAGAGCAGAGGGGTGGGAAAGAGCAGGCAGCCCCCTCCCACCCGCCTGCTTCTCCACGTGGCTCCCCCAGGTTCCCTTACATCTCCTCCTCCCAGGCACCGAATCTCTTCCAGTCTGGGGTCCGAATTTCGTTCTGGAGAATCTTTTTGGGACCACCAGGCCAAAGGGCCAGACCCAAAATATCCCAAATGCCAGTGTAGGTTTGCTTTCAGCTTCTCAGGAACCAAGCCTTCGGAGGGGCACATGCCAACCTTCTAGACTCGGGGGAAAGCCGCACAAAAGCTGGGAAAGGCACACGCCTGCCAGACATCAGGGGAAAGGCAACACGGGCATGTGGCTGGGACCCTGCGCCCCACCTCTCACCCCTTCCTTTCTCCCTGACCATCATCCCCTTGGAGAGGTGCCCCCAGACTCATCCTCCACTCCCCCTTGCCTGTCCAGGGCCTCTCTCCCAGGTCTGCTCGCAGAAGGCTGCTTTCCCCTTCTTTTGCGAGACAGACACCCGGCCCTTTATCTGCCCGTTTTAGCCACCCTCAGTGCCCGATTTCTGGGCAGGCAGTTGGACGGGGTGGGTGGAGGGAAGGCACACAAAGTTGTCGCTCTCTCATTTCCCCCTAGTCTCGTTTCCGCTCGCTGGAACTAAGTGCCGGGCTTTTTGCTGCCTCAGCGCTCTTCCTCGCCACATGGCCCGTCTCATGTTTCAAAGGCTCAATTCAGCTCTGCAGCTTCTCCTGCTACGACCTTCACCGGGACGAGTCATTTTTCCTTGGCTATCAGCTCAGTGACGTTTGCTGTGTCCTTCTGCCCCTGGCTCCGGGGCTGAGCCTCGTGGAGGAGGGTCCCTTGCAGCCCCTTTCATCTATGGGTCCTCTCCCCGCCAGGGGGCCTGCCCTAGTCCCCATTTTGAGAACCATAATCCCCATCCTCTGTGACTGAGAGGGAATGCAAGGCACTCGCCATCTGGGGAAAGGAAAGCTCCAAGTTACACAGGACTACGAACGGGACTGGAAATGAAACTGCCCCATTGCACTGGCCTTGTTCAAATCCTGGTGTGGCTGCACCCAGAATTCGGTTCTGGTACAGTTCTGCACTGGAGGAAGGACATGGTAGAGAGCTGGAAGAGTGCGGAGAGAGTCAGCTGGGATGATGTCAGGGCTGGGAGTAGCTCCTGCAGGAAGAACCCGATGGGGTGATGTCGCAGAGCGGATTGGCGGGGGAGTCATCAAGAGTAACGGGAAGCTCTTCTTCACACGGAGCACAGTTAAACCATGGGATTGGCGTCCAGGAGAGTGTGGAGTTGGCCACCGACCTGGGTGGTTTTCAAAGGAGATGGGACAAAGTCATAGAGGAGGAGGCTATCCATGGGTGCTAATCCTAATGGCTGGAAGGGCAAGATCTCTTCTTGCTGATGCCACAGGGGAGGACACTGACTAATCAAGTGAAGTTGCAACAACCCAGTTTCAGGATGGGCAGCAGGAGAAGCTGCCTCACTGTCAGAGCCATACGGCAGTGGAACCAGCGGCCCGGAGAGGTGGGGGGCTCTCCCCCACTGGAGGCATTCAAGAGGAAACTGGGCAGCCACCTGAGTGGGGTGGGGTGACTTGGTGTCCTGCAACAGCAGGGGGTGGACCTGATGGCCTTCATGGCCCCTTCCAGCTCTACTCTTCTAGGATTCTATGATTCCGTGTGTGTGTGTGTGTGTGTGTGTGTGTGTGTGTGTGTGTGTGTGTTGGCCACTGCTGCAAAAAGACACCAGCCCCTGCAGATTTGCAGGTGGGCATCTCCTCCCCACAGCTCCCCATGGCAATGGCCCCCTTCTCCCTTCCCCAGAGGTGCAGAATGACTTAACTTCCAGGGCGTGGGCCAGTGGGCAAATCCAAGATGGATGCTGAGAGTGGCTTGCTGCTGAAGTCCCAGAAGAGAAGGGCAAGTCTTGCCCTTCTCAGTCCAGGCCAGGACAACCACCTGGACCTGGCCAGTGCCTCGGTGAGCCTCATGGCAGCACTGATACGGGTCCCTGTCTTGCAGGGTACAACTGCACCAGGAGCGCACAAGCCGTAATTCCCCAGGTTCTGTTTTTGCCTTCCCAGTCGGAGGCTTTGCACACAGCCTGTCTTTGCATCGGACCTGGGCCTGACGGCTCCCTTCCAAAGCGCTGCAGGACTCCATTTTCCTCACAGAAGCGAGGACGTTTGGGTGGGAGCCAAGCCCCCCGGTCTGCCTTTACAGGTTGCCTCACCACGAGGTCTCCTTGGTGCTGATTTTCACAGGCTGGGCTGGGGCAACCCCACAGCCCATGAAAATAGGGGGCTATGCAGGAAACCTGCACTTTCTCGCAGCCTCCTGTGCTT